GCCAACGTCCAGCTCTTCCAAGTGAGTACAGTGGGTGTTCAGCTGATATCAGGGGCCCGTGCAGGCCACATCAGATGATGCTAACCATTGGCGAATGACCTACTAGAATTGTATGTAGGTGCTTAAAGCTCCTTGCTGTTGTGCATAAATATCCAGAGAAGAAAATGGAAATCATATATTAATATAAATGAAGCTATTTCCCCCTTGCTCACCTAAATTTCTCTCTTGAGATTACTCTCATCTTCACCCACTCCTTCAAGAAAAATTTTTTTTTCCATTTTGTCTTTTCTGGTGCCTCTGTAGGGCTAATGTGCAAAGCCAGGAGTTCTCTTGAGCATGTAAACAGAACAAAACAAATAACAACTTTCTATCAACAGTAACTTTTTGAGAGACACTAGGTAAAGGGTTAGCTTTTCCTATAACATGTTGGATTTTGTGGGCCATACAGTGTCTGTTGCAACTTCTTGACTCTGTCATTATAGCACAAAAGCAGCCAGAGGCAATACATGAATGTATGTGGCTATGTACCAATAAAACTTTATATATGAAAACAAGCAGTGGGCCAGATTTGGCCCATGGGCCATAATTTGTGGGCCCCTGCACTAGAGTGTAGTGGTCCAAAATGTGAACTCTGGGCCCAACTGCCAAGACTTGAATCCAAACTCCGCCATTCACAACTGTAACCTTGGACCAGTGACTTCCTCTCTGTGCCTCTTGGGTGAGTTAATTGTGCCCAACTGCAAATGTGGACAATGATGGCCCTTGTTTCATAGGATGATGTTAAATGTGTTAGTAAAAGTAAATAGCTTAGATAGTTCCTGGCATATAGCAAACATTCAATAAATATTAGCCATTACTATTATTACTTTGAAGATACATAAAACAGAATTTTATTATAAAATGAATACATTTTAGAATATTTTGGAAAATACTGAAAAGTAGAAAGAAGAAAATAAAAATCACCCAAAATCCCACCTCCAAGGGAAAATCATTATTATATTTCTTACTTCTTTCCATTTTTTCCTATGCATATTTTGACATGTATATACTATATTTACGATATATTTTTTCTACAGAATTCAAATCATTATACACACACACACAAATACATAATGTTTTATGTCTCGTTTTTATACTTAATGTGATCTTACTTTCCTTCTAATTAAAATTCTTCAGAAGCATATTTTCACAGTTGCATACTACTGCATTGTATGAGCACAGCATAATTTACTTACCCAGCCGCCAATGAATGGACATGGAAATTCCTCTTTTTTGTTGCTGTTCCTGGGTAGAGTGATACTATGACGACCTGCTCAGTCACGTCTTATCTGCCTTTCCGTTTCTTTTGCTGGGTGCCCTCCTGCCTCCTCCATTCACTCCTCAGGTTGCTTTGGCCTGAAGCTCTCCAGGGCTTCCCTGGGCCTGTAGGGGAACAGTGTCCTCTGCAGCTCAGCCTGACTGGTGACCGTGTTGTTCCAGGAGGTGCCCAATGGTCAGTCTGAGGAGGACATGGTGGGCCGGCCCCTGCCCCACCTGGCCGCAGCCCTGCAGGCCTCTGGGGAGGCCGTGTACTGTGACGACATCCCTCGCTATGAGAATGAGCTGTCCCTCCGGCTGGTCACCAGCACCCGGGCCCACGCCAAGATCAAGTGAGTGTAGTAAATACACCCGGGAGGAGGGCGCTGGGAGCACCTTGCCAGGCACTGGAGATGCCGAGATAACGAGGGTCCCCCAGGGTCTCCCGGTCTAGAGAGGAGCATGGGGACTCATCTGAAAACCAGTCTGGAGAGGAGCAGGAGAGGGTAGGGGCTCAGGGGTGCCTGGGAGGGGGAGGTGATGATGCTGGTGAGATAGGCAGGGCCCGTTAGGAAAGTGCTGATCAGGGAGATTACACTTGGCCCTGGGCAAGCAAGGAGGGGCTGCTGAAGATCTTTAGCAGGACCAGGCTAGATCTGCGCTTTGGACACTGGGCTAAACTCCAGTACAAGATGTCAGGAGAACTGGAGTCAGCGCTGGGGGGAGGAACACGGCCTTAGAGTCTGACAGACCTGGGATTGAATCCCCACCCCAGGGCTTAGCAACCGTGACCTTGGCCTGCGTGCTTCAGCTCTCAGTTTCCCCATATGTAACAGGGTGTTGCTGTGAGGATCAGTGTCCACAAAGGACCTAGCAGAGAACAGCCGCTTGTACCTATTTGTCGAACTTTGAGAGCCCAAATGGCAAGAGTTGCCATCTCTATAATGACAATAATACCTAACACTCATATGGCATTTAATATTTGCTGCAGCCTGGTTTAAAGCGTTTCACATATATTGGCTCATTTATTCCTCACGACAACCCTACAGGCAGGTCCCATTTTCATCTGCATGTTCCAGATGAGGAAACTGAGGCCCCACAGGCAGGGTCAGTTACTTGCCCCAGGCCACGCAGCTCACAAGCGGCAGAGCCAGAGCTGGAGGCCAGGCAGCACTAGCGCCCGGGCTGCGCTGCCCCTGGATGTTCAGGCCAGAGACTGAGCTTGATTCCCTGGTGGGCACAGACGCACACCCTGCGAGTAGAGCAGCGAGCAGAAACCCCCCTTGGGCCCTGCCACTTCATGGATTAGGGATCAGATCTCACCATTGGTCTTTCCTCTGCTGCTGCTCCTCGCCTGGAGATAGGCTCCAGGAATGGTGACCTGGACACAGATAAAAGCTAACAGAAAAATAAACTTTTCTGGGTCCCTGAAAAAGAAAATGTTTGTTTCAGAGGATATGGTGTCCAGCCACAGGGTAAATTCATTTGCCTTTCTCCTTGTCTGGAGCCCATATTGACAGTACCATGACCTGCACCGTCTACACTCAAACAACTTTGCTCCATCCGAGCGATATCTGAATGGATGCAGGAGGATGGGGGTGGTGGGGGAGGGACTTTGTAGTAACTGCACCGATCAGGGCTTTCCCGGCTGCACGCTCCTGGAAGGCAGTGTGTAGAGCAGAAGCGGCCCTGACTTGGGCATTCTTCATGACTTAACCTCAGTCTTAATCCCAGCTACGCTGCTCTCTGGCTGGTGACTTTGGACAAGCTACTTAACTTCCCTGAGCTTGAGTTTCCCCGAATGTAAAATGGGGATAATGGCAACGACTTTCTGGGGCTCTGGTGAGGGTTACCTGTTTGGAAGTTGGCTGGTACTTTCAGAGGGGTTTCCATACGTTTCTCTAGGAGCCTCTGCCCTATTTCCCCATGGGGACATGGGCCAGAGTGAGCAGTACGTAGTTCAGACTGTTAGAAATGATAAACTCTCCGGGCAGTCTCCCTTTGAGGTTTGAATTGCCTATTTATGGCCGGGGTGCCCCAGCAGGCTGGGATAGCTCCCTGAATGTGGGGAGAGAAATCTGGCTGTGTGATGATGTCCAGGGCCATTGGATCGGTGGGACAGAAGGGCCCCCATGTGCTGATTCTCGATGGGCATTAGCTGTGATGTGGGTTTATCTGGAGCTCTCCGAGTAAATGCTACACATTATGACTTGGTTCTCTTGTACTTGGAGACCAGAATAGGGCCTTGTATAAGGTCCATGTGGGTGGGCCTGTCCTATTCATCTCCTATCCGCCGCAGCACTCAGCACAGTGGCCTCACATGGTAAGCATTCAATCAACACTTGCAGGATAGGATAGGATAGAAAGTGGAGAGGGGAGGAATTAGAGTGGAAGAAAAACCACCAAAACGAGGACAGGATTATCCAATCGGGTGACAGGTTTTTCTCTTCGGTTTTCCTGCCTGGCGCCTCACACATGTCATTCTTACAGGTTCATCGATACTTCAGAAGCTCAGAAGGTGCCAGGGTTTGTTTGCTTTCTCTCTGCTGATGATATTCCTGGGAGTAACAAAACTGGACTTTTTAATGATGAAACAGTCTTTGCGAAGGATGAGGTATGTCCTGGATTTTTTTTTTTTGAAGTTAGTGGAATGAGTATTTAAGTTTAAATTTGCACTCATTCCTTCAAATCCATAATCTTGAAAAGATGATACATATGCACATCTTGTGGCTGTCATCCAATTGGCCAGTATTCAGGACAATCAGTATAAGGGTGGAACATGCCTGGTAGCACTTTCAATTTTAACTTAATGTTTACTTGTTTATTTAATCGATGGCTGCTATTCGTGCACGGTAGGATGATTCCACACCAAAGTGACGTTAAAACAATGGTGGTGATTATATTTGAACTAACAATCAGGTTCTTACAGGTACAGTATTAATCTCCTTTATTACAAGAAAATAAAAATATATTAAAGAAACTAGCCAGAATAGAAATCATGATACCACTACGATGTGTATTGATAATTCACTTATATGAAAGTTCATCTATTGATTTCAACTATACAGGGACTTCTGCCAAAAACAAAAGTTTCCAAACATTCCAAGAAAGACAGCTACTACAAAAATCCATATACTTTTAGGATAGTTCTCAGACAGTCACTTTATAATTCCAATACAGATCAAATGTTGCAAATTGGTGGAGGGTAGGTGTTGCAGAAGGGCAAATTCACCTTGTTATTGATATAAAAGTGAAGAAGAAAATGAAAAACTACAACCATGAGACACAAGGACTCCAAAAGGAGAGCATTTGAAGGAAGAACAAATCGCTCTACAGGCTTCAAGAGCCTCTAAGACCATTGCTAGCATTATGGTCAGTGAGAATCAGCCAGGTTCAACAACCACTGTCCTAACCAATTAAGTCAATAACTTAATTGGGTCCTGAAGAGATAAATATCAGAGACAGGCATGCTAAGGATTGGTTTCTGTTCTCATAAACCTCATATTCCAAAGTGATGAGTTGGACAATTTTTCTGTCGTTTATTGTTGGGGGGATGTTGGAAGAAAATTATCTCTGAAGGAGATCCATTAAGCTTTTATAGGGACTGAATTATTAAATGAAAAGAAAACAATAATCATTATTCTATAAATCTAACAAAAAAACTGGTTTATGGGTCATCAAGTCTAAGAAACAGCAGTTGGGAACTACTGCTTCTGGGCATCCAGATGAAGGATAAGACATGATTGCTGCCTTTGAGAAGCTTTTGGTATAAATCTGGGAAATGGAAGATAGAAGAGAGTGGGGTGGTGGCAAGAAAATGAAACTGGGATCAGGGGCTAAGATTTAGTCATGGTCTAGTAATGAGCCAATTGTGATCTTGCCTTCTGGGCCTCTGTCTCTTCACATGAAGAACAAGGGTGTTGGAGTAGGCTCGAGTTGACAGATACACTTCATGCTGCCACACCTCCCATTTTGCTGCTCATGACAGACATCACTAATCAATCACCACATTCTATCCTGGGCAGCCTCTCAACAGGCCACCAGTACTAAGTCATCAGAATTGGCCCTAGAATTGAAGCGAGTTTGCCATCCTGATACTAGAGATGTCCAACTCCTATTTCGGTTCTACTGATTCTAAACACTTATGAAGAAGCACATAACCCCAAATAGTAGGATAAGGAAATGAAAAGGCCCCAGGGCATTCCTAAAATTTGCCTTAACAGGAAATTGTGGGAGCAGGGATTTCATTGGCCTTTTTGAACAACCCAAAATAATTTGCTTCATGAGGAGTCTAGTTATGTTCTTCACACTCTGGCTCTGTTTCTAGGTGACTTGTGTTGGGCACATCATTGGTGCTGTGGTCACCGACACCCCAGAACATGCACAGAGAGCTGCTCAAGCAGTGAAAATCACCTATGAAGAACTTCCAGCCGTTATCACAATTGAGGTAACTAGGACGGGCTGCCTGTGGAGAGGAGAGCTCCCTGAAGGCAGCTTTATTAGGATCCTCTAGAGGAGATTCGAGCAGAGACGGGATTTGACTAGATAGGTTTTTTTTTTAATTATTTTAGTGAGGTCATATTGGCTTAGAATATTGTGTAAATTTCAGGTGTACATCACTATATTTCAGTTTCTGTATAGACTGCATCATGTTCACCACCAACAGTCCAGTTTTTATCTGTCACCCTACATATGTGCCCCCTTACAAACACTTTCACACTCCCCTCACCCCCTTTTTCTCTGGTAACCACTGATCTGTTCTCCTTAACTATGTGTTTGTTTATCTTCCACACATGAGTGAAATCATATGGTATTTGTCTTTCTCTGTCTGACTTATTTCGCTTGGCATAATACCCTCGAGGTCCATCCATGTTGTCACAAATGACACGATTTTGTCGTTTTTTGTGGCTGAGTGGTATTCCATTGTGTATGTATGCCATGTCTTCTTTTAGATAGGTTTTAAAATCTCTTCCAGCCCTGGGATTGTGTGGCCCTATGAAAGCTTCCCCATCAGGATCCTAGACTCAGTCTACTAATGGACAAAGGGAGCTTCTCCTTCCCAATTTCAGCTCCGGTTGGTTCCTTGAGGGATTCTTTGCTTTTCCTCAAGATCCAAGGTTGTCCGTCTATATCTGAGGAGATGGAGGAACATGACTTCCTTGGCTGCACATGAGCTTACTTTAAGTCTGTATAAGAAGCTTATAGAGATGCCTATGTGAGAAGGGAAAGGCAACAATTCTGAGAGCTTCTCATCCCCCAGTTGGAAAACACCTTCCTTCCCCTGAAAACTAAGTCACTGAAGCTTCTTTCTGACCCTCAGGATGCTATAAAACACAACTCCTTTTATGGATCTGAGGTGAAGATTGAGAATGGAGACCTCAAGAAGGGCTTTTCAGAAGCAGATAACATTGTTTCAGGTACAGCTGCACCATGCAGCAGTGGGGATTGGGCGGCCCTGGTTTTTGAATGAGATTCAAGAGCTATAACTTGAGTCCTGGGGCAGAGAAGTGATTTCCTATCACTTCCTAACAGAAGAGCTCCTCTGATGTTTGTAACAAAACAGTAGACAGTTGGCTGGGAAAGAATTTCGGTCACCTTAATCTCCACTCTCCTGACTCTAGGCTGGATATGTCTAAGTGATTCTAGAGAGATGATAGTGTGTCAGATTTGGAAGACTGTCTAGGGAAGATAACTGTCACAGATGCCTGGCCGCCTTTGGGTCTGCTGGGCCTCTAACCACACAGACCCCTGGCCCACCCCGTGGCCCTTAGGGCTAGTGCTCCCCGCTCCCTTCCCCTTCTCCCCCACCCCCCACACTGTGAAAATACGTCCATTGTTCTCACCCAGGGCAAGGCTGCTGCTCAGACTCCTTTTGGAATTGTTTTCTACTTTGGCTATTGTGCATCACTAAGTCACTAGAAAGTCAATTCTCTAATAGGCCTGATAGCTTCAGTTCTGGAAGACATTTTCAGCTCTTCAATCACATCTGTTAATTCTTTACCTTTTCCAATATTTTACAACTATAGTTTTAAAATCTTCAATTTCCACTGGCTGCAATGAGAAGAGAGCTTCATGCCTGATGCATTGCAATGTCATTCTAGTTTCTTTGTTGGAGTGGGGGTTCAGCTCCCAGATGGGTAAGACTTTGAGACCCTTTTCCACCCCCAGCTGGGGAACCTAGAAGCTACCTATGAACAATTGATTCCTGTATGGGGCACTTGACAAGTACACTCTCTCCTTAAGCAAACTCACCCCCTCCGTGACCTGGGGCTCACTGTGGGAGTCTTATTGCTTCCCCAGGAGAGTTGCACATTGGCGGCCAACAGCACTTCTACTTGGAGTCTCACTGCACCATTGCTGTCCCAAAAGGCGAGGCAGGGGAGATGGAGCTCTTTGCGTCTACACAGAACCCCATGAAGACCCAAGTAGGTGTCCTGTGGGTCAGCTCAGGGGCCTGGGGTGGACTTCAGAGTTCCCGGGAGACCAAGAGTGGCATTGTGGGAATGTGAAGAGGGAGACCTGTGCTGGTCCAGAAGGAGGTTTGGGGGTAGTGGTCCTGCAGCCAGACTCTGTCACCAACAGGCTGGTGTCACTGAGCTTATTACATAAACTCTCTCATCTATACAATGGGGCTTGGAGGGGTTGTTATAATGATTATATTATTTGTATAGAGCCTAGTAAGTGTTAGCTGTTATCATTCCAGTGCTACATGGCATTGGTTAAATCATATCTGGCCTCAGTCTCCCCGTCTGTAAAATGAAGGGGTTGGGCTGAGCAACAGCCACAGCGACCATTAAATTATCTGCAGCAGCTCAAATAAATTTCTGCAGCAGAAACATCCCCCGTCTCTCTATTGCCTGTGATGTGACAGTGGTAGCCAGCATTTTTGGTAACTGTCCTGCTCTCATGACCCACCAGCTCCCGGTCAGATGGAATGAGTTTTGGCTCTGAAAGTATGCTGTGACCAGCTGCTTGCCCCTCTGGTTAAAACAAGTGTCTGAATTCAGTCTGCAGTGACTGCTGGGTGCCAGACCCCAGCACCACTACCCAAGGGCTGCACTGGGAGGAGAGGGGGATCATCAAATCAAGGGATTTCAGAACTCACAGCAGTAATTAGGCCTGTGCATATTAGGCAGGCTCTGGGTCAGGCCTGAAGTCAGTCCAGATGGTGCATTCAGTGCAAGTGATTTTTATTTTGCCCCCAGTCCTTTGTTGCAAACATGTTGGGGGTTCCAGCAAATCGAATTTTGGTCCGAGTGAAGCGACTGGGAGGAGGCTTTGGAGGGAAGGAGACCCGGAGCACCTTGGTGTCCACGGCAGTGGCCCTGGCTGCATACAAGTGAGTTATCCCAGTGGACTCTGGGAAGAAGAATAAGGTTGCCTCTTCCAGGAAGACTTTCTGGTTTCCCCCTTTGGGAATTAGATTCCCCTTGCTTTGTATATCCACAGCTCTCTGTGTTTGGAACTCTTGGGCATAGGGGTGAGGGAAACCTCGCCTGGTTCTTTATGTCCCAATGCACATGTCCGTGTCTTATCTTCCCAACCTGGCTGTGAGGGCCCCAAGCACAAGGACACACCTCACCTCCTCATGCTCCTCACCTGGTACAGCGCAGGGCCTCGACAGTGAGGCAGCCCAGTGCGGGTCTGCGCCCTGTGCCAGGTGGGAAGAGAAGGTTTCCTTGCTGTTCTCCTCCCTGAGAATCACAGGGCTGGGCCGTCCTAGAGACTCCCAGGTTTCTCACCCTCTGCTGCCTCCCTCAGGACCGGCTGCCCTGTGCGCTGCATGCTGGATCGTGACGAGGACATGCTGATAACCGGCGGCAGACATCCTTTCTTGGCCAGATACAAGGTTCTCAATGTCGGGGGCTGTGCCCAGGCGGGCAATGCCATCTCATTGGGAAACCTGGGGATGAAGATCCAGGGATTCTGGGATGTGCTCTGACCTTTTCCATGACTATCTGTAGAAGTTCAAAGAAGAACTAGCAATGAGAGAAATTCAAATCAGCCAACAGCACCTAGAGGGGTGATGCTGGGGAAAGCTGGTGGGCCATCTCCCAAGCAATGCCACAGGGTGGTGTTCACGACTTTTGTGAATTTGAGGGGTCTTTGTCCGCTCAGGTTCAGAAACATGACTTGTCAGTAGACCCGGGGCAAATCCATCCTGCAGCATGGCCTAATGTTAATGTGTTCACAACCTGATGTAAAACTCAGAATGACCACTTAGTAATTTACAACGAGAAGTGATACTTCCCATGGGCCTGGACTGGCACTCATTGTTAGCGTGGGCATCTGCCCTGCCAGACAATGTGCGGCTGGGCACTGCCCCATTTCCCTGTGGGATAGTCCTTTTTCTGGGCTTTTATGGATGACCAGTTCCTGTTCTGACCATGTACCCTTCTCTCTACATGCTAGTATAACCTTACAGGTCCCATCTAGCTCTGTAAACCTGGGAGCCCTCTCTCCCCATGAGCTGGCTTTGAGCATTTCCCCTTTGACCTCCTCTGACTTTGTTTCATAATTTAACTCCCTAAAAGTGATTGTATTTCTCCCACTCCCCAATTTTAGTGGGCTTGAATAAAGTAACTTGGTCTTTTGGGATCCGTTTCCTCCCTTACAAAATGGCCTGTAGGATTTGTTTTGATGGTTACATAAGGTCAGGGAAGTGAAAGCACATTCATGCTCGTGCAAAGTGTAACTTTTATTGTTTGCTGGCCAAGCTGTGAGGGAACTCTCCGGCATCTTTCCTACTTTCTCTTCTCAGCACCACCCCACTCCCACCCTTTCAATGCCAACATCCTCTTTTCTCCCTCCTCACTCCCTCCAGTAGAGCCAGAAGCCGGGAGTAGGTAGAGAGAAGGAGGAGTCTGGGGAGAAGGTGTCCAGAGGTGAGGAGCCAGGTGTGCGTCACTGGGGAGATGTTGGTTCCTCTCCTCTTCACCCGTTAAGTTCACCTTGTTTTCATGGTGTGATGTCTTGTTCTTTCCGTTTCCTCCAGGTAGCGTAGATGGGAGGAAATGATTAGAGATAGACAGCAAGGGGACTGTGGAGAAATCACTCTCCTTTTTGGCAGGTTGGCTTCATGAAGACTGGGAAGATTGTGGCTCTGGAGGTGGATCACTACAGCAATGCTGGGAACACCATGGATCTCTCTGAGTGTGTAAGAAGTACCCACATCTGCATCCCGGGGGTGACCGGGAGGTCAAAGGCACGCCCCACAACCTGTTCACACATGCAAGCACAGTCTGCCTCAGTTCTTGCCTGTTATTGCTGCAGTAGTCTCCTATATGGTCCCTGCCTTTATGGTTGGTTAGGATGGTTCTCCATCCTTGGTTGAAGCACAAAGATGATCCTATTACTTCTGCAGCACAGAGATGATCCTATTACTTTTCTGATTAGAAACTCATCCTTCTTATTCAAGATATTTTGCCAAGCAAGCAAAGTTAGTTACAAAACTTTATGTACAGTATAGTGATATTGTATGTGTGTGTATGTAATGTTAATTTTATATATACATATATATACAATGATACGCAGGGAAAATGTGTGGAAGAACATATACCAAATAGTGATCAGATGAGATTAAGATGGACATACACTGTCATTTTCTACATTACACGTTTCTACATTACACCTTATTTAAAATTTGAGTTGAGGAGTTGAATTACTTTTTTATTTTTAACAATTTCATTGAAATATAGTTTACATACCATAAAGTTCACCCATCGAGACATATAACTTAATGGTTTTTGTAAATTCAGAGTCATGCAACCGTTATCACAATCCAGTTTTTGAATGTTTCCATCACCCAAAATGATCTCTTGTGCCCATTTGTAGTCACTCTGTTCCCGCCCTCCAGGCCCAGACAAACTCAAATCTACTTTCTGTCTTTATAGGTTTTCCTTTTGTGTGGTCTGTTCATATAAACAGAATCATACGCTATGTAGTCTTTTGTGTCTGCCTTTTTTCTCTCAGAATCCTGTTTTTGAGGTTCATCCATGTTAGAGCATGTATAGTTCTTCATTCCTTTTTATTAATGAAGAATATCCCATTGTATGGATAGACTGTATTTTCTTTTCCATTCACCACTTGGTGGACATTTGAGTTGTTTCCAGTTTTTAGCTTTTATGGATAATCTGCTTTGAACATTCTCGTATGAGTCTTGTGTAGGCCTATATTTTTGTCAATTTTGAAAATTAACAAGATTACCTTGGTGGTACTACTTTTAGAGTTTTTTAAATTTTGATTTTATAACCATACTAATTACATATGTGTAAATTCTTGTTGAAAAATCAAACATTTCAGGACAAGTAGAAGTTCCCATTGTCCCCACTAGGGGTGCTGCTCCTCTCTGCCAGGGGCTGTCTGATTGGCTCAATTAGGAAACTTCACACTGCAGATCTCAGGTAAAAACTTTTCAAAAAAGGAAACACTTCTAGTATTCTCACCATTTATAACACTTGCTTCTTGGTGCTGTAGGAAAAGTCAGGTTGAAAAAGATACAGTACTTGTCCCCAAAGATCTTACAAGCTTTTTAATTCAATCCAGCAAATATTTATCGGGAGCCTAGGGTGGCAACATAAGGAAGAACATGGCATTGTTTCTGTCCTCAAGAAGTTCACAGTATGGTGGGGGAGACAGATAATAAAAGACAAAATGAAATAGAAGTACAAGTTGACAAAGTGCTAAGGGAAACAGAAATGGAATTAATTGAGACATACAGAAACCATCTAGGATGACTAAGACCAAAATAATCAGAGACACAAAAAGAAACCTGTGGGAAATAAACTAAAACCAGGATGAAACACAAATAGAAGCTACCATTTATCTCATCAGAGAGGTGAGTTATTACACCTTAGAGAAAGAACAGCATGCCATAAAAATGCAACAGTTGGAAAATAAAAATGAACTCTGTGAATTAAAACTGTGAAAGCAGAAGAGTTGAAAGAAACTTGAGGAGCTCTCCTCCAAAAAAGGAAACAATGTGGAAAAATAGGACAGAAAATACAAGAAAATTTGAGGTCCCGTCCAGGAGATCCAAAGAATAGAAGTTTCAGAAAGAAAGAATGGAAAAAAGATAGAGGAGAAAACTATCAAGAAGTAATTCAAGAAATTCCCCAGAACTGATAGGCACACATTTTGAGATTAAAAGAGCCATTCCAGGAACCAGCACAATGAAGGAAAATGAACCTATGCTAATTTACATCATTGTGAAATTTTAGAAACCTGGAAACAAAGAAGATTTTACAATTTTCAGGGAGGAAAAAAGCAGAACTCATTCCAAGAATTGGAAAGGCATTGATTGGAGTTCTCAATACTGGGGAGCTAGAATGCACTAGTAAAATATCTTCAAAATGCTGTGGGAAACTGGGAAACTTATTTCCAACCTAGAATTCTATATGCAGTCAAATCATCAATTAAGGGTTAAAGACATTTCAGATGTGCAAGTTCTCAAAAACGTTCCTGTCTATATACCCTTTTTTGAGAAGATATTGAAGGATGTACTCCAGCAAAATGAGGGTGTAGAACTAAGAAAGAGGAAGACACAGGATCCGGGAATAGGAGATTCAATATGGAGAGAGGCAAAGGGAATCCCTGGGATGCGTGTGAGGGCAAAGTCCCAAGGGAACAGCGGAACGGCAGGCCTAGTGGAAGCCGGTTTAAATTGGAGTAGGCCAGAAGGCTTCAGGAATGATTTCTTCAAAAAGGTGAAACTGATAGAAAATCTAATGAGTTTGAACATATTGAGAGCAGATTTTTAGAACTGGGGAAATCTTTAAGTTGACTTAGTAATAAGTGCACAGAAAACTAAGCAAATGAAAAAAGAAGACAATATTAACTCCAGAGGGGAAAATGTTATCAAGAGAGAGAGAAGTAATGACAGTATCACTACATGGTTCAGCTGTAAGTAATGTTTACAGAACTATCATATTAACCTGACTATTGATCAGATCAAAATATAACTATACGGGAGATAGGAAGCTGGTGTGTATGCAGGAAAAGGGGGTTAGGTAGGAACTAAATTCTCCTTTTCCATAATCAGAAAACAATATAAAAGTCTAAAACTGAAAAAGACAAGAAGTGGCAATATAAACACATTATTTAGAGATGTGGAGATTACTAATGTGAACAGCTGATAAAGAATAAGTGGTTGCCTCTGGGGAGCAGAAGGAAGGAAAGTAGAGGGGACGGCTGTTTTGCATAACATGACTTGTGGAAATATTTGACTCTAAGCTATTTGCAGTACAACTTTAACAGGAATAAAAGCCAATTTAAAATTAATTAATAAAATCATCTATTTTTTTAAAGAGGCTAGTGATCAGTTCCAACTAGAGGATCTGGGAGGGCTTCCCCGTGGAGTTGGTGAATGAGGATTTTAGTAGGTGGGTAAGGTGAGGAGGGGCATTACAGGTGAGGGTAACATGCAGTCAGAAAAGAGGATAAAAAAATATATCAGGGAAAGGTCATCAAGTGTCTTGAATTCCATGCTTAAAGATACATGGACTTTACTTTGGAGGTAATAAGTGCCATTTATAAGCAAGTGCTTGAGCTGATATGACCTTATATTTTAGTATGAGACATAGATTGGAGGGAGGAGGCACTGAAGGCCAGGAGTGCAGTAAGGAGGCTGTTGCAATATCGCAGGGAAGAAATAATTAGGGCCTGAGCAAGAGCAGTTCACAGTGGGGCCTGGAAAGGCTGGGATGGGTGCAGCCATCGAAATCCCTTTTTGAGGAGCCAATGAAGTCAACGCACTCTTCTCTCCCATTTCTCTCCTTGGCTTCAGGTAATGGAACATGCTGTATTCCACATGGACAATTGCTACAAAATACCCAACATCCGAGGCACCGGCCGACTGTGCAAGACCAACCTGCCCTCCAACACGGCCTTCCGGGGCTTTGGGGGCCCCCAGGGGATGCTCATTGCCGAGCATTGGATGAGTGAAGTTGCAGTGACCTGTGGGCTGCCTGCAGAGGAGGTAAGCTGGGAATTTGGTGGCACAAGTCAGAGTGGGTTAGCCTACTTTGAGGGGACAGTGGCTTTGTATCTTGGGCATCTCCACTGGGGGTAGAGGATGGGCAGGTGCTGCTGAAGGGGCTGGAAGGTTGACTTTGGGTTGTGCCCCCCTTGTCTCTTGACAAAGCCTCAGTGTCTCTCTCCTTGGGAAGGTGCGGAGGAAGAACATGTACAAAGAAGGGGACTTGACACATTTCAACCAGAAGCTTGAGGAGTTCACCTTGACCAGGTGCTGGGATGAATGCCTAGCAAGCTCTCAGTATCACGCCCGGAGGAGGGAGATTGCCAAGTTCAACAAGTAAGCACCAAGAGAGGAGGAGTCTGACGTTCTGGTGCTGTCTGGGGTTTCATATTCTATAGCCTTTTTGCTGAACTCAAAATATGATGCTGATAGCTTAATGGATAATGTATGAAGCTGCTGAGTTTGCCAGCTCGTTCATAGCCATCTCTTTAAGATCCTGAAATGATCTTCAGCCTGGGGGCAGGTGGGCTCACAACACTCGGTGTCATAGCCCATCAGTGTGGTTCATCTTTACACATTTGTCTGCCTTCTGAGCACACCGTGTTCTAGAGAACACCAGCCCAGGACTAAGAACACCACAGTTATGCACCTGCCTCTGATATTAATCTATAAACGTGATCTTGGCAGTCACTCCATCTGCCTGGGCCTCAGTTTTATCATTTATAAAGTGGGCATAATTATACTGGCTCCGTCTTCCTCCCTGAGTCACTCGGAAAACCAAATACAAAACGCATCATTCTCATCAGTGAGCCACAGTTCCTCCCTGAAATGATCACAGTCTAAGGTCACCAGGGCACTCTGACCCAGTCCGAATTCCACTCAAGGAAGAAGAGTGATGATACTTTAAAGCTGATTCTCTCAAGGGTGGGCCCTGCTCCAGCTGCACTGAAGGACCCAGAACCCAAATTCCCGCCCTTCTCACTTTGTCTCCGTAACTGGGGCAGAACTCAGTTATGACAATGGCTATATGGGCAGCTCCAAGGATGCCTTGTTCCAATTTTACAAAGTTGTTGACTGAAAATATGTCCAATTGAACATAAATATGGTCGAGAACATCCTATGAGAATGTTCCTTTTTCTCTAGGGAGAATTGTTGGAAAAAGAGAGGATTATCCATAGTTCCTACCAAATTTGGAACACACTTCTCAGTTAATTTTCTGAATCAGGTAATTGCTTTGTATGATTTTGTCCCTCTCTGCCAGACTGGGGCTCTGTTTTCCCCTCTGTTTGCAGTATTGCAAAGTAAAACCCATGGTCACTGGTAACAGAGCTGACTAGAGGAGCTCTTTGTTGTTAAAATGAAAGTTGAACTTGCATACCCCCATTTGCCCCATATGTCGTGGGACAGTGAGAGCAGCATGAGACTCAGAGATCTGGGGTCAACTTCTAGTTCTTACTCCTCCTGACTGTAGGGCTAAGGGCAGTTACTCTGCCTTTCTGATCGTAGTTCTTCATCTACAGAGTGAGGACAAAGATATTTGACCTACCTCCCTAGGAGGATGGGAGAAAGAGAGAGAGAGAGAGATGAAAAAATTTTGCAAACTCCTGAAGGGCTATATAATTAAATCATGAGATTTATACTGCTCTAATTTCTGTCTTGGGTTTATATCCAAAATGTTGCTGCTGGGTTTTTTTTTTTTTTTTCCCTAGGCTCTAGCACCTTTGCTGGACTAGGTCCCTAGCCCTAAGCTGAGTTCGGATTTACCGAATTTTGTGTCTGGCATCCTTCCCTTCCCTTAGGCAGGAGCCCTGATTCATGTGTACACAGATGGCTCTGTGCTGCTGACCCATGGGGGCACTGAGATGGGCCAAGGCCTTCACACCAAGGTGGTCCAGGTGAGCAGCCGGGAGGCTGTGGGAGTCCTCTCTGGCACTGTGGTGTCTGTGTGAGGGCAGATGCTGTGTGAGACTGAGCAGTGGGACACACCAGAAGCAAAAGCAGGCCTAGGCGCTGGCCTTGGCCCTGCTGCTCATTTACATGTCACCGTGGGCAAGTCTTCTCCCTCTCTTGGCCTCAGTTTCCTCATCTGTGGAAAGGGGTTGGCCAGGTGATCTCTGAGATCACAACATTCTAGAGCTCTGTGACTGTGTGTGTCAGGTGGGTGTGTTGTGTGCATAAACGTAGCCAGTTCTGCACACACAAGACTCTTTACAGTGGAGCTGGGAGGATGTGGCTGGATTAGAGTCGGCACACCTGCTTGGCTCATGGGACTGGCCAACTGGATTTTTTAGAACAGCCAAGGTTAGCTTAAAAAGGCACTGTTAGTCAACATTAGGTTCTTGGAATTTTTTATCCATTGAAACCACTCCATAAATTACTGCTTCAAATTCAGACACGTGAGAACATGCCAGGCTCAGTAGAATTATATTTGACAAAATTATTTTCTTGCCTGTAGCAGTGAACCTGAATCCTGCCTTGGGAGAAGGTGGCCAAGCCGCGTGCTAACCCCTTCCCTAGAGAGTGATGTCGTCTCTCTTGGCAGGTGGCCAGCAGAGCTCTGAAAATCCCCACCTCTAAGATTTACATCAGTGAGACGAGCACTAATACCGTGCCCAACACCTCTCCCACGGCTGCCTCCATCAGCACTGACCTCAACGGACAGGCCGTCTACGTAAGGAGCCTCGGGAGCCGGCAGAGCTGAGGGCCAGCCCGAGGCTTTGGGCCTGGAGTGTCCCCCGGGTGGGAGCTGGAATGACCCTTGCAGGCTCTTTGGCTGTGGCCATGCTTGTGGCTCTCTTATCCAGGAGGAAAACGCCAAGCTAAAAGAGAGTCCCAAGAACTGTAATTGCTTCCATGCAAGTCAGGAAGGATGAGGGTAGCATGGGGAGGAGAGTTGGAGGGAACACAAGGGGTTCTGGGAAGACATACTCCCTGCTGTTAGAACTGGCCGCAAGACAATGGACTGAAATTGGAATTCGACTGTGGGGTCGGCCAGTTAAGACCCACCTGCTTCTCCTCCCACATGGGAGATGTAATCAAATGAAGGAGTTTGATGGGAGAAGTACCTCCTTAGGGACCTCTCAAACATTTCACCCTCTGTCAGCCTGAGAACTAGGTCAGGAAGTGCTCTCCAAGCAAAGGTCAGTGCTTGCCCGTTTGGCAGGGTCCTCTAGCTTCCACTCTGGCCCCAGTCGTCCCTGAGAGGGTGGCAAGGCTGTTAAAGTGGGACCTTGGGTGCAGCATTAGTAGGAAGTGGCCTTTGCCTGTGTGGGGATGCAGAGGATTGATGTGTCTGGTGTGTGGTGGATGTGTTCTCTAGAAAGCTTGTCAGACCATCCTGAAAAGGCTGGAACCCTTCAAGAGAAAGAATCCTAGCGGCTCCTGGGAAGACTGGGTAAGTCTGAGTTCATCCAAGTCGCATTTGCAAATGAGAGGGGAATTAAGTGCAGAGCCTCTGTCCCGACCCCAGCAGGAATAGGAGGTCATGATCTAGTCACTCAGGCAAAGAGAAGCTGAGGTGGTCTGTGTAATTTCACAAGCCCAGGAAATGCTCAACCTCGCTGGGCCCCTTTCTCTGCAGTTTTCATAGTTGAGGGAAGACACTTGAGGAATATTTTTGATCCAGGATCTTGACAACCCTGTAGGAATAGGGCTTTGGCTGCTCTGAGCCAGAGAAGATGGGGGTGACTGCTGGACATGCCTCCCTGTAAAGTCTTGGCTCACTCGACCTGGTCCCACACCCCACTCGGCCGCAGTCTTGATGAGCCTGGTTTTCTTCAAACTTCCTTCACTCAGAGGCCTGCCCCAGCAGCATCTCCCCCTCCCCGGCTCCGGAGTCTGGGTCCACTGAGATTCCATCTGTGAGGGGGCAGGGGAAAGACATGGCCCGAGAGTTGTGTCATGCCTGTGATTTTAGGAGTGACAGAACAAGCATCATACGCAGCAAGAACAAGCCCAGTTCTCTGATTTCTGGTTTGGAGGCCTGCCTGTCAGAAACCCTCAGAGGGATGCTGCAAGGAAGCATCTCTCAGGTGGGAGGCTTCTGCTCCTCCAACAAGCAGAAATATCCATGGCAGCCCTGCTTCACCATTCCCTGGTGTTGGAATAGGAGAACTGGGCACAACAGTAACACATAAAATGTGCCTACATACAACCCAGCTCAGATAGTACAAGTCTCCCTTAATATATTCAAGGAAGATAAACTATTTCTCTCAGACCCACCCATCTCACTAGGACTCACATGACCTCTACTTCCCTTCCCACACTCATGGATACCACCCACATAAATACCACATGACCGTCGATTAGTTTTGGTAGTTTGGATTTTAGCATGGATTTGTCAGGCAACGTTAATGTTTTCAACAACGTTACAATCTGTTGAGCTGAGCTTTACAAATCAAGCCTTTACAAGCTGTTGACCTGAGCTTTGTCCTCAATGACTGGCCATGTAGTCCAGTGTTCCTTGTAAGGAGATAACCCCAATATAGGCCATTATCAAAAAGGTGTGATCAGGAGATGACAGGCATCAAATCTCTTCAGTGTCTGTACCCCACTGAAGAACAAGCCTTTATTACCACCACCACTATATATGTACATATTTGGTACCATATATGTATGGTAAGGATCCTAGAGAAATTCTTTATCTAAGCCTTAGTTTTCTCATCTGTAAAGTGAAGATAATTATAATACTGATCTTATAGGGTTGTGTTGAGTATTAAACAAGATAATGCATGCGAAGTACTCAGTAGCATCTGGCACATGGTAAAGAGGTTCGTAGTTGACAATGATCATGATGCAAATTATATCAACTACAAATTAAATCTTAGTGTTGTGCTAGCGCTGGGGATACCAAAAAAACTTATTAATGTAGTTAAAGAGATAGAATGAATGGATAGATAGACAGATAGCTTTATTAACAGGAAGGTATAAACAAAAACACAAGGTTAACAGGCTAAGTATCAAATGATCAATATAGAGAGTTGCTGTTATAAGGCCAGAGTAGGAAGTGATCACTGGGGAGAGGCGATTGGAGAGGCAAGTGTGAGCTGGTTGTTGAGGGAGGAAAAGGATTTGGACAGATATAGCAGAGGAACCGCATGAATGAAGGTGCAGAGGTGTGGGGACATGGAAGGGTTGGCAGAGAGTTAACACTCAGGTTTGGGTGGAGTAGCAATGGTGTGTGTGCTACATAAAGCCAGAGAGAAGACCAGGGTCCTTAATGTCAGGCATTTGGTCTATAGGCGATGGGGAGTCATTGAAAGCTGTAGAGTAGGGGAGTGACATAGGCTGTGTGTTATGTTAAGGTGTTTTACTCTGGCTGCTCTGGGCTACACGGCAGGGTGGGGAGGCGACTTGAGGCAGGAAGACCAGTTAGAGGCTACCGTAGTCCTCTAGGCTTCAGATGACGAGGACCTAGTGCAGGGGGTGGAAGTGAGGATTCGAGGTAAGGTGTGGAAGTGAGTCACTAGTGGAAGGAGTTGATTGGCTTCCAGAAGAGGAGGACGAGCTCATGAAAGCTTAGTGCTGGGTTTCTGGAAACCATGCTTACCCCTTCCTGATGGCCATGTCCTCTCCTTAGGTCATAGCTGCTTACCAGGATGCAGTGAGCTTGTCCGCTACTGGGTTTTATAAGTAAGTATGGTGCTGGTCTCGCCCATCTCACAATATGTTGTCATCCTAACCTCTGTCTCCTCCAGCACTGAATTCTGTGTGCCTTTGGTCAGGAGAGAACAGTTCCACCAAAACTCTTACCTCTTCAATGGACGTCCGCTAATTTCAATTTAAAGATGCTCTAAAATACATGCGATTACCAAACGATGTGCCGAGGAGGCAAAAGCACGTGCTGCCGTATCAGAAGATCTGCGTTTTAGTTCTGGTCTTAAAGTGCGCTGTTCCGCTTGGGGAATCAGTGGTTCTCTGAGCCTGTTTCCTCGTTTATGACATAGTGGGACAATTACCAACCATTCCTCCCTCAGCGTTCTCCTGTAAGAACCAGGGGATCCGGTGTTCTGAGTTTCCCATGTGTGTTACTTTGTACTATGCATCGGATTTCTTTACGGAGGCTTTCCTTCAAAAGAATGAGAGGAGGATTTAGAGCACGTGATCTTGTTACAAAATGCAGAATTCAGTGGAACTTAAAGTGAGAGTTAGAAAAGAGCACACATCTTCTGCAACTTTAAAATTCAGTAGCAGCATGTAGAGCTAGAGACCCTGCCCATCTGATTTAGAAGCTATGTATCAAAAAAAGATATGATCATATTTACTGTCAGCCATAAAGTTTTAGCTTTCTCTGGGAAAGTTAACTAAGACCTTTTCTCTCACAGACCAATGGATTTGGAAAATAGTTTAATGTTTGCTTTAAAAAGTCTTGTGTGAATGTATGAACATATATATAATATACATACGTTGTACATTTTATGTATATTTTACATAACATTTACATATACATTTTATGTATACTATGTATATGTCTTATACATAAGTACATATATGTATGTATTAGGCAAAGTAACGTTTTGCCAGTGGTCCCTGAGTTATGTAATATTTGACTTACACAGACACAAACTAGTGAGACTTTCTCATAAGTTCCTATTTCATTTTTGGAGTTAATGAAACTGGCGTTATATAAGGAAACGCCCAGATGAAGATGGTGAAGTCAGAGGTCAAAGAAAGTAATGGTTTCTCCTGGGAGAAGGCTTTTCCCTCAGCCCTATGTTGGTTTTGTTTTCATGCAGATTCTGATCACGTCAGCTCACATTATTTCTATGTAATGTGTAGAATAACATAGATACAGAGTACTATAAACTCTGGGTGTGAGAATACACACACACACACACAAACACGTACACACGACTCATGCAAAATTGGAAATGTATCAGATACTCAGGATTGAAAAAGAAAAAATTGTATAAGAGAGCATCTGCTTTTATTAATAACACTTTCCTCAAATCACTTGTTGAAATTTAGAAGGTGCCCGTAGATGAGGAGTAATGCAGGCAAATGCTGCTTAAAGATGCACCCAGGCTGCAGGAGATACTGATCTTGTTAACTTTCACTTTGAGAAAGGTGTGCAGCCCTGTGAGCAGGTGAACTTGTGTGAAGAGACGAGGAGCCAGAGCAGGCAGAAACTTAGGTTCTGAAGACCTTGAATTCTAATTCAGTAGTAGATCCTTTGGAATGTGACTTTCATTTCTTTCATGAGCTCAGGCAAATCTGTCACCTGTTTCTACCATGTAGAGGAAAGTACGTTGATACTAAACACTGCTCGGCTGTACGGGATGAATCATACAAGGACCATTGGTAAAATGGAGCAGAGACAAGAGACAAAATTCTCTGAAATATCCGGGTTTCATTAACGAGTTCAAAATATTCAAAATATATGGGCTTTTTTGAAGAACAGCTGAATGAAAAAATAAAACCTTGGGAGTCTTAACATTTTGTGGGACAAGCTGTGTGTGTGTATGTATGAGTGGGGGGCGTGTTCATCTTAATACAAGTGCAATATTTTCTCTTTTCTCCCCCAGAACACCCAACCTTGACTACAGCTTTGAGACAAACTCAGGAAATCGCTTCTACTACTTCTCATATGGGGTGGCTTGCTCTGAAGTGGAAATTGACTGCTTAACAGGGGATCATAAGGTAAGAAGTTTACAGACCTTCAGTACCAAGGGGGAAGGAGAAACAACTCAATTGCAATACCAAGAGCTGATAGAGACAAACTTTCTGGTTAGAAAAATAATGCCTTACAGCACAGCTTGGCAAACTTCCTATAAAGGACCAAAGAGTAAATATTTTAGGCTTTCTGGGCCACAAGCCTGCCTCGGCTACTCAACTCTATCATTGTAGAAAACAGCCCTAGACGTATGTAAACAAATGAGCGTGGCTGTGTTCCAATAAAATGTTACCTATGCACACTGAATGTGAATTTCATATAGTTTTCACATGTTACAACATATTCTTCTTTTTATTTTTGTCAGGCATTTAAAAATGTAAAGACTATTATTAGCTCACAGGCCCTACAAAAACAGGGGACGGGCTGGATTTAGCCATGGAACATAGTTTGTTGGCTCCTTCTTACATGATCCACCCAGACTCAGGTTAAAAGCCCCAGGAACCTGGGAACTTGCTGTTCCTACTCATGTGTGGGTGTGTGCACACTTATTTCCAATTACTGAGAGAGCATTGCCACTCCCATCTCCTCCCCAGCTGCTAAGAACTCAAACTTCAGCAGTGACAATGGCAGTGGACACTGGCGGGGACATGAACAGCCCTGCCTGAGCGAGCCCAGGGCGTTCTGCCTGTGAAAATGCTGTTTGGGTTGGCATTTAATAATCTGAGGATCACCAAGACCCATCTATCATTCCCCACATCCCTTTCTTCTCAAACTGCTTCCATTTTGCTGTCCACTTTAGAACCTCCGCACAGACATCGTCATGGATGTTGGCTCCAGTCTGAACCCTGCCATCGATATTGGACAGGTAGGCTCATGGGGGACCAGGGTGGTGATGGACTTGGCCACTGATGCGCCCCATCCCCTCCTAGGGTCACCAGCCGTGACATCTTGTCCAAGTTCTGAACATGGTACCAAATGAGTCTCTCTCTGAGTGGGATTGAGATAGATGAGAGCCCGCCTAACTCTTGAGGCAGAAGACAAATTAATGTGAATTAACATGGAAAAGGCTTTCACACCTCGGAGAGCAAGATGATGAATGGTGAAAGCATTGGGCGCACACGCACACACACGCGCGCACACACACACACACGCAGAGATTGAGAGGGGGCACAACGTGGAACGGAGATTGAGTTTGGCATCGATACGCAGGCAGTGAGGTCTGAGGTCAGAGGAGTTTTCTCCCCCCTCATTCCTCTTCCACACAGGACAGGTTTTGTTCTCCAGGAAGTAAATGCTACCAAGCATGGGGCGGGGGGCACTGGGGGCAAAAGAAGGATTTGAGCAAGAGGAGTAAAAAGATGAATGTCCTGAAGAAAATCACTTTTGGAAAATATGAGAGTATTGGGCAGAGCAGGTTGAACAGGAGGAAACAGAGGGAAGAATCCAGAACTGAAGTACTGAGCATCTGGTAGAAAATTAAATTGTATCTCTCAAAAATGGGCAATTACTGAGTACACAGAAACTTAGTTGTTAGTCAATCTGTTCACTAATTCATTGAACAAGCATGCGGGGGCCCCTACTATGGCAGGCGCTGAGCTCAGCACCGCAGACACAGGATGAGTAGTGCCTGGTTTCCCCCTGGAGCACGCTTGTGTAACTACAGCAGTACCACTTGTCGCTATTCTGAGCACTGAGGCTGGGAGTACAGACGCGTGGGCAGCAGAGCGTGGCAGGTGCCCTAAAAGAGATCTGTAAGCTACAGCAGGAGCACACTCTCTCCCAGAGGGCAGGCAGGGCTGGGAGTTCAAAAAGCCTCCCAGGAATCTGGGAATCTACTATCCAAGGAATTCCCCGTCTCTTGTGGGGCTGCTCAACAGCGCATGGTCCCACTCAGCGCACAGGAGGAGCGTGGGCCCCTGAGGGACACTCAGCAACCATTAGCCTATGAGCTGGCTTCTAGGCTTGGGGTCGCCATTTCTCCGTGGCAACATTGAAGGAACATCTCCACCTGCCCCGAGGCAGGTTTTAATGGGAAATTATGCCTACCACTGCGTGACCCTCTTGGAATCGCTGACAAGTTCTGAAACTGACCTTCAGCGTTAATGCCTTCACTCTGCCCATGCCAGTGCCTGGCGAAGGCCCAGATAGGTTATCCTGGGCCGGGGCAGGAGCCAGGTAAGCAGTGGAGGGATGTTTTCAGCTTCTTTCCAGCCCCACTCCAGGTGGGGATTGGTGCCCATTGTGGGAAGCAGTACATGTCCTTGGGGAGGGGAGAGGCAAGGTAGCCACGGTCTCTGTCTGCCCTGCAGGTGGAAGGGGCATTTGTCCAGGGCCTTGGCCTCTTCACCCTGGAGGAGCTGCAGTATTCCCCTGAGGGAAGCCTGTACACCCGCGGCCCCAGCACCTACAAGATCCCTGCGTTTGGCAGCATCCCCACTGAGTTCAGGGTGTCCCTGCTCCGCGACAGCCCCAACAAGAAGGCCATCTATGCATCCAAGGTACCATTGCCCTGCGTCTGTGCTGCCTTCTGGTCTGCATGGTGGGAGACCACGGGTGGTGACCAGGGGCTCCAGCCACTTGCTATGTGGCTCTGCAGGGGCTTGTCTGGAAGAGAGAAGAGGGCTTGATACTAGCCTTGGTGAGGACAGTGGAGGGGTGGGCAGTCCTGCCTGAGAACCAGGGAACTGGGCTGAGGATGACACTGCCTCCATGTGGCCAAATGCAGCTCCTTTGTGTGCACTCAGGGGGATTCCTTAATCCAGTCCTGTAGGTCAAATCTTGACCTACACCCATGTCTCAGGTTTGCATCCCTGATGCTTGGTCCTAGAGACGATCTCACAGGTACAGCACCCCTCTAGTTCCATGAGAAGCAGCATATTCCCTGCAGATGGGGCAGCACCTCCATGAACACCCCTTCACCTCCTTCAGTGGCTGCCACCTGACCTTAAGACTTGATCAGCATGCCTGAAGGATTATAACCATCCTCTATTTC